AGTCATGTGCAGATCACATTAACTCTTCTGAGTTTTCATTTTCTCGGGAATTCTGATGACGATCTCTTCTGTACGTTTGGGTCATGTTTTGCCGTTTATAGAGTGGTTTTACATGTTATGTCATTCATCTGCCGTTCCTGCCTCACAAAGCTGTTGCAGGGATCCAGTGAGTTATGTACAGAAGAGCTATGAAGGATTACTGTTGCCTTTTGAAGTGTTTGCTTTTCTCCCTCAGTGTGGTGTTTCATCAAGAGTGGACTACAAAAAATAATTCAGATTTGCTTGGATATTTAAGGTGTGGACCCTGTTCTGTCACTCTATGCATGATTTCCTCCTTCCATTTTCACACACAGGTCTTGTACCCAAGTATTACATCAAATAGAAGTTATAGTCAGTTCCATTTTCTGCCCTAGTGAACAGGAAATGTAGTAGGCACGGATAATCCAAAATAATTGGCTCGCTTTGGGTATGCATTTTTTACTTAATTTAACTTAAGTATGTGTGGCTGGGGAGTCAGAGTACTTACTGTATTGAATCTCTGGAAAACCAGCTTGAAATACGCTGTAGTTCCCAGACCTTGGTGGCTCGCCCACTCCATCCTTGCATGCTGTCAGCACAAACCCATTGCTGTCAAGTTGATTCTGACTCAGCTTGACCCTTCAGGATAAAGTAGAGCTGCCCCATGGCGTTTCCGAGGCTGTGATCCTTACTGCAGCAGGCTGCCACATCTCTCTCCCATGGAGGAGCTGGTGGATTCGAACTACCAACCTTCGGTTAGTGGCCAAGTGCTTTAATCACTGCACCACCAGGCCTTCTTGCTGTCAGCATAACAAAAAAAACAAACTCACTGCTGTCGAGTCGGTCCCGACTTGTAGCAACCCCTCCTTGGGTTTCCGAGGCAGTGTCTCTACGGAATAGGACCCTGAAGCTCACTTTCCCTTCTCTTTTAATCTTCTCTCTCAGACTGGCTCCTTCGTCCTGTTCCTCTCTTTCCCACACACACTTTTTCCCTTTCTGTAGGGTTCTTATTTACGTGTCTACTTTGCTGTCATTGTTGACACCCACATACATACTGTGGTACAGGTGCAGGGCAGAAGGCTATGGGAAAGCAGGAGGATTCTTTTTAGGGGGTAGCTTAAGATCATGGAGGCAGCCAGGAATCCTTCCTCTTTGCTTGAGTAGTGAGGAAGTCAACAAGAAGGTGTCTGACTGGGAGGCATCTGCAGGTCTGAGGGCTGCCAGAGTCAGCAGCAGAATGAACACGCATTCTGAACATTTTGGATCTTCTCAGCACCACTAGTATGAACTTCATGGTCTCTGTGTTCTCCATAACCCATGAGGTTGGGCTTATATCACTCAGTCATGGAGGTCGTCTCCATTGTCATGATGGCAATATGACTTCCTCTCCAGCCCCTTTTCCAAATGAGGTGTCTAGAAGAGGGGAAGGTCATGCTGTTCTCTGCCTGGTGCTGGGCAGAGGTCTTCTGGTATATTAGGGTTTTAGTATCCTACCTTGAGGGCCAGTGACAACCTAGGGTGTGTGATCTAAAGAAAGCACGAGAGTGGTGAGGGGAGTTATCATAAAAACAGTGCATGAAGGGGCTAGGAGGGAGAAAGCTGGGCGAGGGAGGATGGTTGCTAACAGGAACATTTAAACGTCTGCACTCTCATACTAAAGAGGAAGCAGACTGACTCTGTGCCCTCAGAGGGCAGAGTGAGGGCCACGTGGTGAGAACCTACTCTGTGCCTCAGAGGGCAGAGTGAGGGCCACGTGGTGAGAACCTGCTCTGCCTTCACAGAGTGAGGGTCACGTGGTGAGAATCTACTCTGTGCCCTCAGAGAGTGAGGGCCACGTGGTGAGAACCTACTCTCTGTGCCTCAGAGGGCAGAGTGAGGGCCACGTGGTGAGAACCTACTCTGTGCTTCAGAGGGCAGAGTGAGGGCCACGTGGTGAGAACCTACTCTGTGCCCTCAGGGCAGAGGGCCACGTGGTGAGAACCTTCTCTCTGTGCCCTCAGAGGGCAGAATGAGGGCCACGTGGTGAGAACCTACTCTCTGTGCCTCAGAGTTCAGAGTGAGGGCCACGTGGTGAGAACCTACTCTGTGCCCTCAGAGGGCAGAGTGAGGGCCACGTGGTGAGAACCTACTCTCTGTGCCTCAGAGTTCAGAGTGAGGGCCACGTGGTGAGAACCTCCTCTGTGCCCTCAGAGGTCAGAGTGAGGGCCACGTGGTGAGAACCTACTCTCTGTGCCTCAGAGTTCAGAGTGAGGGCCACGTGGTGAGAACCTACTCTGTGCCCTCAGAGGTCAGAGTGAGGGCCACGTGGTGAGAACCTACTCTCTGTGCCTCAGAGGGCAGAGTGAGGCCACGTGGTGAGAACCTACTCTCTGTGCCTCAGAGGGCAGAGTGAGGGCCACGTGGTGAGAACCTACTCTCTGTGCCTCACAGGGCAGAGTGAGGGCCACGTGGTGAGAACCTACTCTGTGCCCTCAGAGGGCAGAGTGAGGGCCACGTGGTGAGAAC